ATAATTAATTTTTTTTTTAAATCAAATTAAGTGTCGAAATTCGGTTCAACAATAAAATGTAAAAGCATTTTTTTTTTTCATAGGATCAACAACGTTGAAAATCTATTGTACCTCCCGTACAAAATTATATAAGTTTTATAACTATAACTATTACCATACATTTCTCTCAGACATAGAAATTATTTTAAATACAGAACATAGGTTAACTTTAGTACGCTCTGTCTGTTAAGTGGTAGTTTTGTTTTTAATTGCATATTGTAAGGCGTAATGCAAGTAAATCTAAAATATTAAGGTAAATTTGAATCAATCCATAAAATTTGATACTATATGAAACCAGTTTAAGGTGGAGGGTATTTAACATTCGGCAGAGCCGAATATAGCACTCTAACTTGTTTGTATTTAATTCATATGGGAGTACCCCCCTATTGCTATCCCGCTAATTTTTTGTCCTAAGTATTCATGTTGATACTAAAGCGGCTCCGATAAATTAGAGGACTCTAGCTGTTATATTTTCTCGGTTTACTAATTTAAGATTTTCTTTATATGGGAGGGGCCACGCCCACTATAGCTTGTCCGCCCATATTGTACCCATATGATGTTCAAGTTGTCCATACAGAATTTGAGGACTCTAGCTGTTGCAGTTTATGATATAAGTGATTTTAAATACTTATCATGTATGTGGGCGCTGCACTTTGCCCACATGAAATTTTAAAATAAAAGTAGCCTTTAGTTCCCCCAAAATGTGCACATAGTTGCTAGAGAGCTTCGTGCAAAATTTTAAGATTACACCTCCAATAGTTTCCCAAATAAACGATTTTTATACCCTCCACCATCATCAGTGGTGATAGAGGGTATATATAACTTTGTCATTCCGTGCGTAACACCAAGAAATATTCATCTGGCACCCAACAAAGTATATATATTCTTGATCCTTATGAAATTCGATTTAGCTATGTCCGTCCGTCTGTCTGCCTGTGTAAAACACGTTATAACGAAGCCATAGAAATTCTCGAAATTCACGCAAAACATTCTTTATTATACGGTACAGTTTGGTATTGAAAATCAGTAAAATCGGTTCACGATGTAATAAGTTATGAGTAAAAATTGCAGACTACCTCGAAAAAAATTTTCCAATTCTTAAGTAGTTTTCTCAGAAAATACCAAAGATATTTCGATGAATTTTGTCACACATTATTCCTTTGTGCCAGGGATCAAGTATGTTCAAACTCACAACATTTGATTCATTATTTCCCATAGCCCCCATAAAAGGTGTATATTACCGGAAATTAGTTTACCGTTAATAACTCCCTCAAATATATCGGTATCAACACACAATTTTGTACATACAAATATAATATAAATAGAAATCATACTACCAACGTAGATCTCAGTCGGTCCACAATTGGTCATAGCTCCCATATAAGGTCCACCTCCAAAAATCACCTAAACGCACATATTTCATTGAATAATAAAGCTTTTGTGATAAATTGGAGCTGAATATGTTTTGTGTACATACAAATCATTCTACCAAATTTCTTTTCGGATCGGTCCGTTATTAGTCGTAGCTCCCATATAAGGCCCACTTCCGAAAATCACTTAAACGCACATATTTCATTGTCAAATAAAGGTATTTTGATAAAATTCGACACAAATATGTTTCGTCTATATATGAATCACTCTACGAAATTTTTTCGGATAGGACCATAATTGGTCATAGCTCCCACATAAGCTCCACTTCCGAAAATCACTTAAACGCATATGTTTCATTGATAAATAAAGCTATCGGTATAAAGTTCAACTTGAATATGTTTTGTGTACATATAAATCATAATACCAATTTTTCCCCGGATCGGTCCATTATTGGTCATAGCTCCCATATAAGGCCCTCTTCCGAAAAAAATTTAAACTCACATATTTCATTGTCAAATAAAGTTATCTTGATAAAATTCGACACAAATATGTTTTGTGTACATATATATGAATCACTCTACGAAATTTTTCTGGAGAGTCCCGTAATTGGTCATAGCTCCTATATAAAGTCCACTTCCGAAAATTACTTAAACGCACATATTTTATTAATTAATAAATCTATTGGAGTAATATTCGACCTGAATTTCTTTTTTTGCATATACAAAATTTTTTCTTGATCGGTCCATAATTGGTCTTAATTCCCATATATATACTTAATTCCCATATATATACTTTAACGCACATAACTAATTACTAAATTAAGATATCCATATAAAATTTGGTACCAGTATTGCTCACATATACGGAAATATTACTATGAAATTTTTAGTTTTTTGTTAATAACTTCCGTCAGAATGCTGATATCTTCACAAAATTTTACAACTTAAAATCTTATGACAATAAAATCTTATGTCAAATATATGGAGGGGCCATGCAAGGTCCCCTCCCGAGATCACTTAAACGCACATAACTCATTACAAAATATTGATATCCATACATTTAGCATAAATATTGCTCTTATATATATAAATTACACTGTAAAATTGTTTTACGATCGGTCCATACTTGGTCATAGCTCTCATACTAGGTCCCCTCCAGAAAATCAGTTAAATGCACAATATTCATTACCAAATAGTGATATAGATACAGAATTTTGAAATTTTGTCTTTATATACATAATTGGTCATAGCTCCCATACAAGGTGCTTTTACGAAAATCTCTTAAACGCCCATTACTCATTACCAAATAAAGCTATTGATACAAAATTTGGCAGAAATATTAGTTTGGTATACAAAAATTATATTTCAAGATTTTTTCATGATCGGTCCATAACATGGGTGCGGTCGGTCCTATGCAAGGTTGCCTTCAGAAAATCACTTGAACACACATTACTTATTACTAAATTACGATATAGATACAAAATTTGACTGAAATATAGCTTTTATGTACAGAAATTTTGCTTAAAGAATTTTTTCCGATCGGTCTATAATTGGTCATATCTCCCATACTAGGTCCTGCCCCTAAAAGCACTTTAACCGTATTTAACTAGTTGCATTATCAGTTTGTGTAGAACAAAATAAAATATATGTATTTTGAAAATCCTTAAATCTTTCACACACATGCATACATGCACATTATTAAATATCGTTAAAGCATATCTTAGGGCGCTTTAAAAATATAAAAGAAAATGTAATGTTCAATAAATTTTGGAATTGTAACAGTTTGTTTAAATGTTGGGGTTTTTCTATTAAAGACATGAGAAAACTTATTTCTACAAAAATTTGATCAAATAAAAAAGTATTAATATAAAAGTAGCTGGTGGAGGGTATTTAAGATTCGGCTCAGCCGAATATAGCACTTTAACTTGTTATATATATAGATATGTATACATAATATTCATTGATACACTTAAAAATTATATTTTTCATATTTATAGGCCTCCTCCATTATTGCTAGCGTTTTTTGCCCATACACATACATTTCGATAGTAACATTATTAGTAAAGTATTTGATAATTTATGTAAGGGGTAACCCCCATCTATTGGCTGATTCTAATATTAAAGTTTGAAATATTTATATTAGTGGTATAGTTTATTGTACACCTTATGAGGGCTCTGTATTTTATAGTCCCAAATATGTATATGGGGGTGCACGCCCGCTATTGCTGGTCCACCCACCTTTGTTTCAATTATTTACATTGATATTGTTGTTTTTCAAACAAAATTTAAAGATTCTAGTTTATATAGTCTCCTAGATAATCAACTTTGTATGAGAGATTACACGCATATAAATATTAGTATACTAAACATGACGATTCCTACAAAGTTTCATGCTTCCAGCTATTATAATTTGCCAGATATACAAATTTCAATATATGGGAAGTGCCACGCCTACTATAACTAAAAAGCCTATTTTTGGCATAGAAATAAATATATGCACAACGTTTCAAGAATATAGATATTGTAGGTTACCAGATATTTGAGATTAATTATTTACCTTATATTTAAGGGACGTGGCAATTTTCTTGAGCTCATAATTATGTATAATATAAATGTATCTCGATGAAAGTTCGCACAACTAAGTTTTATACAAGTCTTGATGACCTTGCCGAATTTCGAAATGATCGGACTTCATTTGACCCTAGCCCCACACAAAGCCCCCTTCAAAAAGTGACTTGAATATCTGCAATTCATTTATTAGCACTGTTATTGCAATGAAATTTAGCACAGATAAATATTATATATATTATATAAATATTATATAAATACAAATCTATCCAGCCCATTTTATCGGGATCGGTCCACATTTGCTCCTATCCCCCATATAAAGCCTCTTTTAGAAATAAGTTCTTCGTCAATAAATTGCTTAAATAAATCGGAATCAAGGTAATATTCAAGATAAATGCTTTATTATGAAAAATAAATCACATTTAATATTCATAACTGGTGTAGGGTATCATATAGTCGGCCAAGACCGACTATACTTTCTTACTTGTTTTTAATTTTAGATGTTTTACAGAAAAATTTTAAGTACAATAATTTAGTTTTATTGATATTTTTTAGCATTGTATATTAGCTAAATGAATTTGAAAAATTTCCATATTCAATAATCATTCAACTGATTTTTCGCTGAAAGTATATAGATAGTGTATATACTTTTGTGGGTCTATGGCCAATATTTCGATGTGTTACAAACGGAATGACAAAATCAATATACACCCCATCTTTTTTATGGTGGACATAAAAATTTAGACCAATACTTTATATTCTGTTGGATTTCTAATAACTTAGTTCAGATTGTAACACATTGAAATATTATATTATGGATCCTAGCGATGTCTGTCCATCTGTCTGTTAAGAATATAATTGGGTTTTAATTGGAGAAGCCCTCATACGAAATATCATATCAATATCGATATATGAGAAGGTTTTGATGGTGGGTAAGATTTGGTATAGTAGAGTATAACACACTTCTTATTTGTTTGGTTTAAATAAATAAAAAATTTATTTTTTCTAATTATTCATTTTCAGCTATTAGTAAAAAATCTCGGAGCATTTTTATGGAACTGGATGCTAATGTTGTTAGTGGTAAAAATCAAAACATTTTACCCTCTCAATCAACCAATAGAGTTTTGCAAAAACAAATGTCCATTAATAGTAATGGTGGACAAGTGAAAAGTTTTAATGAATTTAACAATGATATAGTAAAAAGCGGAGAAGCAGTTGAAGATGTAAAAATTGAAACATCCCAAATAAGTGAAAAATTTAAATTCTTCGAAAAATATCATCCATCGGAAAATAAAAAGAGAGTTTTTCGAATAACCCCACCAAGAGAAGGAGTAGTAAAAATGCCGGAGGAAAATACAAGCGAAGATGATAAAAACTCGAAAGAACTATCGCCGGATAGAAATGTAATTGTTCATTCGCGCACAACTTCAATGATGTTGAATAAATTTCGAGAAATGGAAAAAAATCAAATTGGATGTGAAAATAATAGTCCAAAACCTCTTAAATGTTTTACACCCCCACCAGATGGCAATCGACGGCTCTATGTAGATCAAAATAGTGACGAGTATGACTCAAATGATGAAGATGATGATGACGACCAAGAAGACGAAAGCGATGATGATGATGATTACAATAATTGCTCACACTTACCTAAAGATGATGAAGCACTTAGAGAGGTAACAAGATATATAAGTTTGTTATTCCATGTGTAACATCAAGAATTATTAATCTGAGACAGAATAAAATATATATGTATTTTCCGTGTCCTTATCAAACTCTCAGTTAATTTAGATATGTCCGTCTGTCTGCCCAAAACACGCTCACGCACAGAAAAAAATGAAATTCAAAATCAAACAAAAAATTCATAAAGCCAAGCATTTTTTACTAAAATAGGACCTATCACGAAATTCGTAAAATCAAGTACTCAAATTTTTCTTATTAAAATAATAGAAGCTTTTTTAATCACTGGATTTATTTTATTTCAAGAAAAAAAACTATCTTTGGAGGCTGAAATTTAGTTTTGGTCATCATTATCTGAAAATATACTATATAAGCTACTAGAAGGTCAAAGAAAAATAAATTTCAGTGCAAAAATGGCGTTTCTGTAGCTAAAAGAAGTAAATTCAATTTGGATTTATTAAATCCACAAAAATATTTAGATTTAGCTAATTTCAATATGGCAATGCTTTGCATTCATAGAACAAAACCAAAATAATTTCAAAGAAATAAATTTGTTTTATTTTGCTATTCACAGATGGCAAATATTTTTTAAAATGTGTAAAAATAGAAAAATTAACAAGTTAGATTGCTATATTCGGCTATGCCGAATCTTAAATACCCTCCACCAGCAAGCTACTTTTTATTGAAACCCATTTAACTATCTAATTTTTAGATAACTTGGCAAAATTTTTGTTTCCTTATTGAGGGTACTAACATTTATGCATATGTCAAACTAATTTTAATTATATATTAACTGTACACAGAACATACTCATTTTGAGTTTTATCCGGATATAATCATTTAATTACGAATTAAGTGGTATTAAGTGATTTTCAGAAGTATACCTTATATGGGAACTTAGACAACCTATGGACCGATCCGGAAGATAAAATCCGTAGAATGATTTATATATACAAAATACACATTTATGTCGAATTTTATCCCGATAACTTTGATTGTTAATGTTCATTTGAGTAATTTTCGGAAATGGTCCTTATATGGGAGTTGTGACCAATTATCAACCGATAAGGAAAAAATTTCGTATAATGATTTATATGCCAAAAAAAATTCAAGTCGAATTTTACTACAATAGATTTATTAATTAATGAAATATGTGCGTTTAGGTGATTTTCGGAAGTAAACTTTATATGTATAGGAGCTACGACCTTACACAAAACATATTTGTGTCGAATTTTATCAAGATATCTTTATTTGTTAATGAAATATGTGAGTTTAAGTGATTTTTTTGAAGGAGCTATTACCATATATGGAACAATCCGGAAAAAAATTGGTAGAATGATTTATATGCTCACAAAACATATTCAAGTCGTACTTTATCCAAATAGCTTTATTATTCAAAGAAATATGTGCGTTTAAGTGATTTTCGTAAGTGGACCCTCTATGGGAGCCTATACGGAAAAAATTTCGTAGAGTGATTCATATAAAGACAAAACATATTTGTGTCGAATTTTATCAAGATAACTTTATTTGACAATGAAATATGTATTTTTAAGTGATTTTCTGAAATGGGGTTATATGGGAGCTATGACCAATAATGGACCGATCCATAAAAAATTTGGTGAAATGATTTGAATATACACAAAACGTATTTTTGTCGAATTTTATCCCAATAGCTTTAGAATTCAATGAGATATATGTGTTTAAGTGATTTTCGGAAGTGGACCTTATATGGGAGCTATGACCAATTATGGGCCTATCCGGAAAGAAAATTAGTGGAATAATTCATATTTATACGAAATATATTTATGTCGAATTTTATCACGATAGCTTTATTTGACAATGAAATATGTATTTTTAAGTGATTTTCGGAAATGGGGTTATATGGAAGCTATGACCAATATTGGACCGATCCGTAACAAAATTAATAAAATGATTTGTATGTATACAGAACATATTTGTGTAGAATTTTATCCCGATATCTTTATAATTCAATGAAATATATGCGTTTAAGTGATTTTGGGAAGTGGACTTTATATGGGAGCTATGACCAATAATGGACCGATCCGTAAAAAATTTCGTAGAGTGATTTATATTTAGACTAAACATATTTGTGTCGAATTTCATCAAGAAAGCTTTATACGACAATGAAATATGAGCTTTTAAATGATTTTCGGAAGTGTGCCTTATATGGGAGCTATGACCAATAATGGACCGATCCGTAAAAAATTTCGTAGAATGATTTGTATGTACACAAAACATGTTTAACTCGAATTTTATCGAATAGCTTTATTCATCAATGAAATATGTGCGTTTAGGTGATTTTCCGAAGTGGACCTTGTATGGGAGCTATGGCCAATTGTGGACCGACTGAGATCTGCGTTGAAAATATGATTTCTGTTCATATTATATTTGCATGTGCAAAATTTTGTGTTGATACCGATATATTTGAGGGAGTTATTAGCGATAAACTAATTCCCGGGAATATATACCTTTGTATGGGGGCTATGGGAAATATTGGATCGATTGTAAAGATTTTCAACATAATTGATCACTGCCATAAAAAAATAATGTGTGACAAAATTCATCGAAATATCTTTGGTAGTTTGTGAGAAAACTTCAAAAGAATGATGAAAAAAACGTAATTTTTTTCGAGGTAGTCTGAAATTTTTACTCATAGCTTTTTACGTTGTGAACCGATTTTGCTGATTTTCAATACCAAACTGCTTAGGATAACAATAAATATTTTGGGTGAATTTAGTTGATTTCCTTTGCTTAGTTTTAACGTGAGCGTGTTTTACACAGACAGACGGACATAGCTAAATCGACTCAGAATTTCATAAGGACCCAGAATATATATACTTTGTTGGGTCCATAAAGTACAAAACTTTTCAAAATTTTTAAATCGTTCTGTACTTAGCAAAACTAAAACAAATAATTTTAAAGTGAGAAAGAGCGAAAACAAAACAATTGGCTTTTTGCTCATCTACTTGCTTTTTTTTGCCTTAAAATCGTACATTTCAGAAAAAACGAATGCAGAAACGTATTTTATGAAAGAATCATTTAGTGTGTGTTTGATTTCATCTAATTTTTTATGGTTTTTATAACAACTTTATTTCACATAGGCATCTACAAAAACTAAAAACTTTACAAGTCTTCTTTTAATACTATTCAAAAATGTTTTTGTTATGAGCAAAACAATCAGGAAACGTTTGCGAAAATGTTTTGCTCTAAACTTTTCAGTTTTGCTCCCATTGCTTTCTTTTCTAGCTGTGTACATTTGAGTTAACCCAACAAACCAAAAGGCTTTAAAAACTCCATAAGCGTTAGGTTTGCAAAACTGTTATGATAATTATTATAAAAGACTTGTTAACAATTATTTTATCAAGAAAATTAAACCCTTGTGGTAATATTGCTGGTTGAAGTTTACAACAAGCTTAGAAGCGCAATTATGAAATAAGCTGACTTGAAAATAGTTTTTGAAACATGATTGAAGTAAGCTTATTTTCATAACAATTTTATATTAATTCAATTACTTTAAACAATTATTTTTCTTTATTTCATATATATTTTTTATTTTTAATAATTTTATTGATATTTTTCAATTATAATTTCTACAATCTGGCAATTTTCTTTATATACATTTTTGCATATTAGTCTATTACAGGGGTCGGCAAACTTTTGAGTCGGAAGAGCCAAAATTTACAGTTTACAAAACATAGGTTTTAAAAGAGCCACAGGTTCAGTTCATTGTTGACCACACCCCCATTTAAATTCCTCTTTAGGAAATTATTTTAACGCTCATAACAGGCCAGTGTTGTAATTCGTCATAAAGACATTTATAAGACCAAATATATCTGTAATAAATTTAATAAGGATGGGTTCAGAATTGTCCCTATCCCCATATAGGCTAAAATACAAATATAGTGATGAAAATCAATACAAACAAGTTTTATAGGATTAAAAATCTCATTACCAAATTTTGGTAAGGACAGATCCATAATATGCTTTCTGGTCCCTTATTTAAAGTAAAAATTTTATGTCAAAAATATATCAATCTTTCATAGATATCTGTCATTAACATTTGTAAAACGTGCAAAATTTAAAAATTTTGAATTTTTTGGCACCTTTTTATACAGAGCGTGCAAAAAATATAAAATAATTAAAAAAATGTTAATGTTTTCAAATACACCAAGTTTTTAATATTTAATTGTATCCAAACTCTCCACATTATTAATGTATTAAGAAATTACTATATTTTCAATATCCATAAAATATGTTTTACTTCGAAAAGCACGAAAATTTCCGAATGTATGATCATGATTTACATCCAGGGCTGCCAGATGAATTTTTGAAAAAATCGTCAATTTCCCGATAAATTTTTAAATAATCGTCATTTTGGTCTTAAGAAATCGTCAAAAAATCGGAGAATATGAAAAGCTTAAAATTTTTATAAAAAATTAAAAATATTGTAATATTTTAAGATGAAATATGTAAAATTCGAAAAATGCGGAATATTATTGCTCAAAAATCAATAAACTTTGAGTTTTGAAGAATATTCGACACTAATGTTAATTCTTTTCTAATGTTCTCATAATGTTTTCAATGTTCTGGCATTTTTAAAAATATCAAACATAAATACTGCTAAAATTTACACAGTGTACACATATAGTTTTTAGGTATAGAAACTTGTTCATTTTTTTCCTTAAATTTCTCAAAGTTTGTTGCATCACAATATTGCTTGTTTTGGTGCACAAGGAATATTTTAATCTTTTTAAGCAAAAAACAGTTTGTAAAATTTTTTAAAGTTTTCTGTAAACAAGTACTTACCCAGTAGTGCTGGTAAAGTATTGAGTAGTGGGTATCGAGTATTTGCCCTATTTTTTGGGTACTCAATACTAAAAAGTAGTTACTCAATACTTTTAGACTTGTATATGGATTTAATTTATTTAAATTTAACGGCTATGATTTGGAAAAATACAGCTCTACAACTAATACA